CATCAGATGTGTCTTTTCCAATGTTTTCTCTTAGTCCATGGCTTGTATTCTCATTCTCTTGACATTGTCTTTCACAGGCAATCATTTTTTTTTAATGAAATCAAACTTTTCAATTATTTCTTCCACGGAGTATGCCTTTGTTATTGTATCTAAAGAGTCATCATACCCAGGGTCATCTAGGTTTTCTCCTATGTTATCTTCCAAGAGTTTTAGTTTTGCATTTTACATTTGAGTCTATGGTCCATTTTGAGGTAATGTTTGTGAAGGATGTGAAGTTGTTGTCTAGATTGCATTTTGTTTTTGTTTTGGTTTTGGGGTTTTTTTGCATATGAATGTCCAGTTGTTCAAGCACCATTTGTTAAAAATACTATCATTGGTTCATTGTATTGTCTTTGCTCCTTTGTTAAAGATCAGTTGACTATACTGCCTCAGTTTCTTCATCCTCAATTTTGAATAGTATGTTAGGAAGTGGATTTATCCTCATTTCCTCTGTATAGGCTTGTACTCCAAGACTTTCTTTACCTAACATCTGCTGTTTTCTGATGTTTCTTTTCTTAAAATTTTGTAAATGAGAAATGATCCTCTGTCAAAATTATAGTAGATGTGAACCATGATTCTAGCAGAGTTGGAATGCTGCTATAAATGGGTAGAGTAAAACATGGTGATTCATAGAAGGCCATTTAACCAGTGTACCAGAAAATAATTGGATGCTGTTCTCCCTCCCTCTATACCCCATCCCCAGTTTCCAGCCCCCAGCCCCAAATGTGAAAAATGTGGTATGCGGATCCGCCTTCTAACAGCTATCCTTATAAACTTGCCCTTTCACATTTGCCTAACCAACCAGCCTCTCCAGAGAATGAAGAAAATGATCATCTCATTATTTTGCAGTAATCGCTCTCGCCTTTTTTTAAAAAACAAAACAAAACAAAACAAAAAAACCCAAGGTCTTCTTCTGTAAACTGTTAGGAACATAGATGCCGCCCAGGAATGTGCTCTTATCAACAACAACATGATCATAATAACAACACTCATTTCTTATGTACTTTGTCTTCTTTAATTTTATAGCCGTTCTCTGCAGTCAAATCACAGATCAGCTTTTAAGACTTTAGGTAACTTGACAGTCATACAGCTTGAAAGTAGGAGAGGTGGATTTTAACCTTTCCTCTGCCTGATTCTCCTAGATAGTGTCCTTAGCTGCTATGCTGAGTTTGGTGTTGATGAAACATACTGGGCTTCTTTAGACTTTCTGGAAAATCCACAAATTGAATAATCATCTTTGAATAATTTAACATTGGATCTATTTTGGCCAGAGATACCTTTTTTTTTTTTTTTTGCATGTGTGATAACAAAAGACAAGAAGCCCCTCAAATTGACCCATATATGTAATAGTAAATGTCTTAAACTTCCCTAGCTTAGTTTAGAGTCTCAAAATACTATGAAGGCATCTTCAGTTTTAGAGTCACAGAGTCTCTATTTGTTTCCCAAGGAGAGCCCATCAGCTTATGGCCTCATGAAAATTCAAAGTCCAATGTCTTTAGGTAGCCTTGAAAAAGCAAGATTAAAGAAAGATCTTCTCTAAATAAATGCAAGAGGAACTAAAAGTATTGTCTGAATCTGTGAAGGGAATAACTAAGCCTAGACACTTCCCAGAAGTTCCCAAGTACTGAAGAGCAGATGTCAGACCCATTGGAGGGGATGACTTCATCAGCAGTGGATATAGCAAGTCTAACAATGGAGTGAGCTCTTTCCAGTGGTATGCTGTATCTGCCTTCTAACAGCTCATGAAAACTTATTGTTACACATTCAGGAATTTTGTGAGCGTGATAGTTTAAAATTGGCCATGTGAATATTTACACCATGGAAATTAGCGAACACTATAAATAAGGAATTTTTAAAAAATAACTGGTTTACCAACACATCATTGGCTATTTAGTAAATACGTGTGCTCCCTGTCATTGAAACTTTTCAAATAGAAACTTGGTAATTTCCTAAAAGACATGTTACAATAAATGCAATAAGGAAAAATTACGTCTCTAGACTCTTATCCACCTTATCACTTGAATGCACTGATCACAGTACTTTATTACTTATTTGCAAGAAACACCTCAGGTTCTAAGTATCTTTTTTTCCCTTTTGACCTTTTAGATACTCCTCATATTAGATTATCAAAGTGAAAGTATCAGTTAGATATTTTCCCCTTCTACCAATATGCTGGCGATGTAAAGAAAAAAAAAGTGGCACAAAAATATTTAATAGTAAAGTCAGGTTCAACAAAAGCAGAGGTGGGAGAAAAAAACCTAATTGCTCCACTTTTAACACACATGTTTTCCATAGATGGCTGGTTTTCTTCAATTTTCATAATTACAATTTCAGGCAGCATCTCTCCACTCCAGGACGGTTATCCCATTTGTGGGTTACCCATTTCCTGTGCATTTCCTTCCTCTGGCCCACCTCTTGGCCACATTAACATTAGTTCATGTCACAAACCATACCACAGGTTGCCAGAGCAGGTTTGGAAACAGAAAAAATGAAATGGAAACGTGTCAAGGTTGCTTTGTGTTAAATTAAAGTACTTGGTGAGGAAGGAGAGGCCCAAAGTCTTGGCTAGAATGAGGCTTCATAAAAACGTAGGCATTTTGGAAATCTGTGCTATTTCTTTTGTGATCGTTAACCAAGCATTAACTGGCCAGATATCTCTGATGAGGTTGCAGCAGTAAGCATAATGACAGTTGTGAACTTGGAAATAAAGTTGAAGATATAATAACCCCATTTCTAGCCTGTAATCAATCAGCCAATATTTACTGAAATCCTAGTTAGTTTAAATCCTTCTTGGTTTAATGCATAGTCTTCTAAGGGCTTACAATCAAGAAGACAAAATTTACACACAAAATTCAATAGTCAAAGCAGTTTAGAAAAATTCAGTGGCTTATGGATTAGATTGTGTAGGAGAGAGAGAGAGAGAGAGAGAGAGAGAGAGAGAGAGAGATACAGAGAGACTGACTCTAAGTCTCTAAGTTCAGGGAAGGGGATGAGAGAGACGAGTGGGCTGAAGAACATGAGGAGACTTTGTGGGAGGAGGTAGGTCCTGAGCTGTGCCCGGAACACTGGGGAGAGGGGAGGAGAGTGGAATTTGGGTCAGTGTAGTAGGAGAGTGTATGTGTGCAGGGCCTCAAGTGCTAGAAGTCAAGAAGGTGAGAAAAAGATGCAAATGTTTATCAAATAGATCAGCCCCTGTTTTCTATCAAATTAATATTATCTGTGGTGAAAAATGGGGTACATCCTTTGTTAGAATGAATCCTTGAAACTACTAAAGTGTGTTTGTAACATTCAACAAACGGAAGTCTCATTTGGAGTCTAAATTATTAAATTTATGTCAGGGGGGCATCAGAGGTATCTGCCACTAGTTAGCATTTGATTTTGAGGGATGAAGTTTGGAAAGAGATGAGCTTCCATTTAGGTTGTACTTCAGATGAAAGCCAATTCGTGGCTACAAAGTCCTGGTCGACCTGACCTCGCTTTCCCTTCTAATTTGCTGCCTTCCATGCCATTCTCTCCCTCGTTCACTAGGCTTCAGGAATGCCCACCTTCTTTCTCTTTCCCACGTGAAAGTGACTGCATTTGCCGTGCCCTCTACCAAGACACCAGTCTCTAGGTCCTTGGGCAGACGAGCTGTTTCTCATCAGTCACGTCTCAGCTCACGTTTCACTTTCTCAGAGACTGGAGTCTTTTTCTGACCATCCCACCTAAAGTGGTATACTCAGACCCCTCAGCACTCACCATCCCATCACCCTCTTTAATTCTTTTAAAACATAAGGAGTGCTCTGAGTGGTCTTGCTTGTTTGCTTATTGTCTGTGTCTCCCCTTTAGATGGGTCATTGGGACAGGGACCTCATCTGCCTGCTCACCGCATACCCAGCATGTAGCAGGTGCTCGATAAAGTATGTGTTCCATGAATCAATGGCAGTCGGGTCTCCATTATGCTTACAGCATGCAAAGCTTGTGTCCTGCAGTGCTGAACTATGACAAAGCAGGAAGAAAATAGTGAATGGTGAAAGACCTGGGTGGCTTGTGTTGCTGCATTATGTTACAGTACCTCTCTTTCTTTTTGTCCCTCTACTGAGTCTGAAGAAGCTGACAATAACACTGCTCAGAGAAGTATTTCAGAGATGGAGTTTGAAGGAATAATTGTGTGGGTTGGATGAATGCTAGCATGTTATATCAAGAAGAGCTGCTCATTAATTCATTTCTCGATATGTTTGTATGTTGTAGCCATGGTGGAATGAAATTACAACACATAATGAACTAAGGTTCGCTGTTCCTTCAGCCCACCCCTTGAAGCCCTCATACACATTTCCCTGTGCATGTCGCCTTTCTGGACTTTGCACTATTCTTCTTTCCCTTCTCAAAGTAGTACAGAATGAGTGTCTACTCCCTACAAACTGTGGTAATGACAGCCATTGTTACTTTGTTGAAAGGAGATTGAAAAAGCTTATTTTTTCTTGTCCACGGATTTCTCACAGTCGCACACCCCTGGTGACACTGCACAAAAGCTGCCTGAGTTAGTCATCATTGGTAGCAGAATTGGCTTCTAGGTGTCTGGTTAAGAAATTATAAAGTATATGCTCTTAAGTTACCTAGTATGGACATAGAAATGGAATGTTACAATGCCATTTTGTGTATCATTAACACATGCTAATAATAAAATGATACATCCATTACTCTGCTGTTGAAATATACTTTATTTTATTATGTTTCCCCAAAGGATCAGTGACATCAGAACAGGTCAGAGTTGGCAAAAAAAATTTCTCTTTCACTTGCCTTCCCATATTTACCTTCTACCTTCCCCTGGTATCATGCTAGAGATCCATGCTTCTACTTTAATAAGCAAGCCATCAAATTTCTGTTAATTTTTAATGCATTATCTTAATAAGTAGGTAATTCTCCCATCTCCTCACTGTTTGGTAATCTGCAATGTCCAATTCTCCCTCTTCCTTCTTTAGCACTGCAGTGACAACACACATCCCTGTCAATCAGACATGAACATTGAAGGAGCCTGGAAGAGAGGCTACACGGGAAAGAACATTGTGGTCACCATCCTGGACGATGGCATTGAGAGAACCCATCCAGATCTGATGCAAAACTATGTGAGTGTTTGCTGTGGTCAGAACACCTTCCCTCCTTGGATGCAGGGAAGTCATGGTAGGATTATCGAAAAAGGGGGAAACTACTGAAAAATGCAGCAAACAGATACAATATCTCTATATATTGCTCCCGTCTTGTAAGAGATGCACTCTCAGTACAGGAAGCAAGAGATAATGCTTTCAACTTTCAAGTGCCTTTGATGTTCTGATGACAAAAAGCAGATGATAAGGTAGCAGAAACCCCCCCACCAACGCCACCTGCTACGGGTAGTAACTGCTCTTCTCAACATCTCATCCACACAGCTAGGCAGCACTCTTGTTTCTTTCATGGAGAAAACTGTATTTAGAACTTTTCTCAAGTTATTCTGCTGGTCTCTTTTTGTCTCTGCCTCTCCTTTTTTAAAGGACACTAATGATTAGCATCCCATTAGTCCTTAGGAATCAGTGAATTCTTTTTCTTACGAAGGAACCACAATTCCAAGACTCAGAACATAAGGTGAGTCCAAGGTCACAGAACAAGTGAAAATGCTGAAACTCAGTAATTTCGTTGAAAACTATGGTCATGATACTTTATGCCCACTGCAGGGTGGGTGGGGCAGGAAGTAGCCTGTCCCAAACACGGGGGTTGGTTTTTGCCCCAGGGGTCTCCAGTCTGCTCTACCAACGTGATCCTCACTGCCTGGAAATGTGTCAAAGACCTCTCTTGGCTTCTACTCTTTAGAATTATCCCTTCCATCAACTTCTCCTCCCTAAGTTTGGTGAAAAGTTCTGTAATTATCTCCCAATGTGCCATTCTCTGTCTGCTCCAAATTCATGTAGCCTGATACCATGATGTTCTTCCTAAAATATTTCTTTTGTTACTAAAGAGTGTGCAGTGACTTCTTCTTATCAGCCAACAATAGCTCTCTGATTCCGGTCAGGGCTCAGCAGAGACTCCTGGCAGCTCCCACTCACACCCTGTCTCCTGACTCCTCCTCTAACCTGTTTTCTGTTGACAACTGTTTCCACCAAGGGACCCTCAAATCACTACACACCCGCTTAAACTTCAATCCCTTTTACCAACCACTCTCTGTCTCTTCCTTCATGATTCCTTTGCATTACAAAATTCTGGCTGTGTAAGTTTTCCTTCATGTTGGCATTGAAAAAAGTTCCTGTTCACACTGGTGATTTTCTATCAGCTGACAAGTTTCCTCTCATATCTTTGAAAATACAAGCAGCTCTAACTAATGGTGAAGTCCACTTCCCTTGACAGGACTCATATTGATCCTTGAGGAAAGTCATGGGCCAGGGTGGGAAGCATTACCTCGTGTGTATGGAAGAGCCCCCACGGGGACTCCTGGGCTATAACTGGGAGGACTACATCTCCTCAGATCTTTCTCTTCTATGTTCCAGTTCATGGTCATTAGGGGAATGACTTCAGCAAGCCCAGCGTGTCCTGCTGTGCCCTGAGCTGGCAGAGAATTCTGAGATGGGCCCGGCCCATAGGTTCCAACCTCTGCACATCAGCTCAGAGGACTTGCCATCCTAGCATGCATGCTGCCTCTCTCCCCTGTTTACTCCTTAGTAAATGGTGGACACAGCGGTGGCCCTGAGGGAGGTTGTCTTAGACTCACTCAGGGAGGATATGGCATGGGAAGGCTTGGTTTCTCTGCTCAGTGCGAATCACTGTGTGTGTTTCTCAGTGTCCACCGCTTTTCCGGACTTGTGCTTCCTCATGAAACCATTGATGTAGAAATTGCCATATACTCTCTCCAGTGTTTCTTTCTCATTTGCTCAGTCTCACTTATTTTATGACCGTTAATATCTCTTGAATTAGTTTTCCTTTTGTTGCTCATACCTGAAAAGACTCCATTTTATCTTTGCAAATACAACACTTCCAAATCCACTTCCTTGACACTTCCAAAACTACCACTGCCTCCCCCAGTCACCCATATTTCTGACCTATGAAAACCTTCCTTCACATAAGAACACCCAGTGTCACCTTACACTTTCGTCAACTTCAACAACTTTTCTGCTCAGTATTCTATTACCCTTTTTGTTTTAAAAATTCAGCCAAGAAACTTCACAGATTATTTTTTTTACAATAAAATATTGTAACAGTTTCTCCTAAATTAGATGATTTTCTTTAAGGTTAAAAAAAAAGAGAGAAGAAACGCACATTCATTTAGTTCTTATTTGAGCAGAGCATTTGAGTGGTTGCCCTCACCCTGCCTCCAAGCACACTCAGATAAACTTTTGTCTTCTCACAGCACAGGATTTTAGGGCTAAAACAGAATTTCACTTCAGTCTCCTCATCTGATAGGTTAGAAACTGAGGCCTGAAGATTAAAATGAGTTAACCCAGATCCTACATAGAACCCTGACTGTCTCCTAGCAAAGAAGTCTTTCTTGTCATGTACAATGTGGTTTTTATGGTGTGTTCCTGCTCCCACTGCATAGGAATGTATTTGATTAAATACAAATAGGTTTAACCTAATTGTAATTGCATTCTTTCTTTTTTCCATTTTATTATGCCCCTTGAAAGAAAATTCCAGAGTTTATCTGTGTAATTAGCAGTACTGGTGCCCTCTCAGTTCTCCTAATGTCAGAGCTGTGAAGAGTAGAGAAAAGCACATTGGATGGGGACTCAGACGGCCTGGGGTCCAAGTCTTGGTTCCACAGACAGTTCATTTCCCAGGTTACTTAACCTATGTGGGGCCTCTGTTTTCTTACAAGTAAAGTTAGTAAGTTACACTAGCTACATGCCATGCTTTAATGGCCACTAAGTGGGGCTACATGGTCCCCTTTGTAAAAGAAACGGGGACTTACCATTTTTATATATAATGTGTGTTTTGCTTAATCCCCCCTAAACGTCTCACTGTATGTACCATAAATTATTTTCAGAAAGAAGATCCTTTGATAAAGATAGAAAACAAAGATTGCAATTACTTTCACTAAAACTGAAAACAGGTATTATCATAAAGCATCAGAAAATTCAAAACATCCCAAATTAGTTCTATCTAATAATAAACTTAGTTTATTATTAAATTATAAATTACAAACTAAAAATAGTGATAATAAATTTAGTTTCAGAGATATTTTTGCCTCACTTTGAAACCTTGACATATAACAGAGCATTGTTTGTTATTTTGATTAGGCCATTGGGTATTAATAAAAAGTTTGAATTGTAGCCTTTTTTTATACCAGTTTAAACATCTGAAACCAGACAGATATTGCCTAATAGAGATCATAACATATCTGATACAATACATTTCTAATACTGACTTTTAATTGACCTGCCAACTTTTTGTGAATGATTTTTGTCTTAAAAAATCTTTGAGTTTTGATAAGGAATTTGCACACTCAAGAAATGAAGATAGAGAAGAGGAGGCAATGTGACAGATTTGAGTGATGCAGGCCCCAGTCAAGGAACGCCAGCAGTCACCTGGGGAGCCTGCCAGGGAGCATATACATGGGGGCCAGACACAGAAAGGAAAACAAATGCACGTAGAACAGCAAGGCGATTCCAGCCAAGCTCTCTGCCAGCATTTCCACTCTTGACTTGTCGTTAGGTGATAGGGGTTGCTACCCAACAGGAGGCAGAAAGTTCATGGCTTCAGATGAACCTAGATGCCCTCAGCTGCAAACTAGCATTTCTTGGCGGGAGATACTTGTGAAGCAGAAATAGTAGTTTTTAGGGAGTGCCTTCAGCAGGGGTTACCTTTCCTGAAATGTCATGGCCTATACAAACTCCCAGTGTTTAGTTAGGCAAACATAGGCACCTGGGGCTGACAGGAGAGGAAGGCCTGGGAGAACAACTATCCCAAGTTGGCCCAAGATTAAGTTAACACTACTGAGGGCTGTTAATTTAGAAGTAGAAGGAAGCACCTAGGACTGAAACGTTTTGCAGAAAGCCCTTTTCTTTTCTGAAATGATCCCTGAGTTCACCTAACTCCAATATTGTCTGACAGGTGCTGAGGGACCAAAATTTTCAACAGAATAAAAATGTTTCCAGTCTCTGACACCTACCTCTGCTCCAGGCTAGTGTGAATGGCAGAAAAGTCTCTCCCAGGGTGTGAGCCATGCTATGCCCAAAGGGAGTCTGGCATCTCTTAAACCAGCAGTTCTTCCTCTTTTTAATAAAGTTATTATTCATAATTAAAATAAAAATATGTAAGCATCTCACAGAAAATTTGTAAACTAGAGAAAGGAAGGGGAGAGCAAAATCATACACGCATTTCTCTAATGTTCCAACCCACTGTTAGGATTTCAAAGTATTTCTTCCTTCAAATGTCATTTTTCCTTGGTTTTAGAAAGTTACAACCAGAGAGGACTACAATTCTCAAGTGCCACCTCTTCCACGAGCTTGTGCCTGACTGCCCAGTCTGAAAAGGCCACCGCCCATATGGCTACTTATAACTTTACCCTGTTCTTATGTTCCTCATAGCCCTCATTACTATGTAAAAGTATGTGTCTCTTTATTGCTTCATTCTATATTGTAAGTCTCTTCCCATTGACTCCATGTGGAACTTTGTCCTGTGACTCACCCCATCCAATACCCAAGACCTAGGAGAGTTCCTGGAAGCACAAATAAAAAGAATAAAGAAAAAGAAATGAAGATAGAGGCAGAATCCATGGAGCATAAATCACTTTGCTTCTAGGTGGTAGTCCAGGAGTACTTCACAGAAAAGTTGGTAATTGAGGTCATATTTGAAGACATTTGGTGAAGGGCCAGTTCTTGGTCTAAGAGCAAAAGTGTTGGCAAGAATGGACCGGGCACTTGTTTGGTCTGTGAAGAGGGAAAAAAATACAACACTGATTATTACTGAACAAGGCATCCTGATAACACTGAACCATGAATGTATTATTTAATCTAATTACTCTCTTGCAGAAATGTGTTTAAGAATGCATGAGCCTTCAGATTAATGGCTAATTAATGACTGGCTGTCTCCTTTCTCTTGCTGTCTCCTCTGTGGCCATAGGATGCTCTGGCCAGTTGTGACGTGAATGGGAATGACTTGGACCCAATGCCTCGTTATGATGCAAGCAACGAAAACAAGTAAGGCCCAAGTGAGGGATGGCTGGCGTGTGGCTGCCAAGGAGTTTTGCTTTCTGCTTTTGCTGAAGGAAATATTTTTTTCTTGGAAATCCTTGGTAACAAATGATCCTTAATTTGCTCTAAGATATACAAGTGTCTTTCCACTATAGCTTATAGCTTCTGGGAAATAAAAAGGGGCAGTCCACATGGTAAGAATGGTTGAAGATTGAGAAAGAATGGTGAGAGAGAGAGAGAGAGAGAGAGAGAGAGAGAGAGAGAGAGAGAGAGAGGGAGAGAGAGGGACTGACTGACTCTTGGGAATGACTTAGCATTTCCAAATCTTGAGAGCACAGCTGGGGAATATTGTCCTTCAAGAGGTAAGTGACCTGTGACCCATTTGTTTAGGCATGGGGTGCTAAAGGGAGAGGCAAAACAAAGTATTCCCCCAAAGAGTTACTTTACTCTGTTAACGTCAAGAAATTTGATTGAATACTGTGCTTGAAGTCTCTTTCCTCTTTTCTTCTCTGTAGTGATTGTTTTTTCCACTAATATACCTGAAATACTTGTTAAGGTTTGCCATGTGTAAACACATTTCTTTTCTCCATAGGCAAGAACCATAGAAACCCATTTAACCACATTTTCACTTTCCAATTAGTACAGTAGATTTTGTGAAAGCAAATGAAAATGCACATCTATTTGATAATGTAGAATATCTTGATATTCTTCAGAAAGTAAATGGGATGGTATTTCTTGCTCATGATGACCTAGATTCCTTAAAATATTAGTAGGTATTTCTAATCTCTAGGTCACATTAACTTTTTTCCTTTTACTACAAAGCTCCTCCAGGATAATGCTGTGATTTAGATACCATCATTTGAATTTTTATGTACATGTTTTAGTTTGGGAATTGCAGAGGTTCCAAAGAGAGGTGTTGTGCCCGCTTATTATGTACTATTTCTAGCCAGAGCTTTTCTTTAGGGAAAAATTTATCAGGTTGTATTATTTGATTAAGTAAGTCAGTAAGTTTAGATAAAACTATCTGACCTAGATAATTGTGACTATCCATGGGTTCTTTTTTTTTCTCTTTTTACCGTCGATCAAGAAGCCTCACAAAAGTTGCTGTGGAAAATACACTGTTTGTTAATGTTAACAACTGGGTAAATATTACAGATCAGATGTAGTGGTGAAAACATTCATATGCAAATTGATTTAGATAGAATTTTTCAGAGCTTTCTAAACAGAAAAAATAAGGAAACTAAATTAAATTGGATAGTGTTTTTCAGACCTGGTCATTACTGTCTATATTAACACTGTTTAAAGTTATAGTAAATTTCACCCAAAGGATTATAATTGAAACAATGTGAGCTAATGTATTTAACCTAATTTACAAACTAGCATGAATCACTGAAGAAGAAACTTGAAGCTTTGATACTTAAAAAGTCATCGCTGATAAATTTCAATATAGTCTATTCTGTTATAATGCGACATATGCATTCCTAAAAATACTTGCACTCTGCAAAATCTCAAATCACAGAGTGATAAGAAAATGGAGTTGGAGCTTAACACTCAAAAACGTCTTCAGTGACACACGCAGAAATGATAGGGACCTATTAAATACAACAGCACAATTTTATCCATGTAGATCAGTTAAGAAATATATAAAACTACAATAACTATGACACTTTATCTTGAAAAAAACCTGAAGTTGGCTTGTGGAAGTGTGTGTCCATTATATTCCCTCCTACTCACATGCCTGCCACTCTGTGTGCAAAAGCAAAAGAGGAAAAAAACAGATAAAGATTAACATTTTTACAAAGAATGGAGAATTGAGAGGAAAATTACAAAATAGGCTGAGAGGAAAACGGGGACAGTTAGGCAGAGTGGAGGCCGCCCACCAGGATGGCCTTTGAAAGGAAGCATGGCCGCTTGCAAGTCTTTGTGAAGTGAGTGGAAGGAGGGTTATCTGAAATTACATGGGAGAAACAGTTCCCGGTGTGGACAAGTGCGGACCGTTGTGCTCCTGCGGTGTGTAGCTCTTTGTGTTTTGTGTATTTCTACAGGGCTTAGTGCAGCTGAGTGTGCTTTCTACATTCACCTAGAATTTCTGGAACAAAACTGTGCAAAAACAGGTGCAAATTTCTCATGATGTTCAAATTGTCCTTTAGTATATCACCCATTGTTGATTGGTTGATTAGATATATCAATCAAAAAATTTGTGTTTTCAAAGCAACCATTATAGCAGAACTGATTGTATTATATCCATTAGCTAAATTTATCCCATCAACAATTGTATAGACAAAAAAGAAACAGGAAAGCTACAGTAAGTCTAGATTGTGTTAACACCCAAAGTAGCTTGGTACAGGATGTTGAGAGACAAGAGGGGTATGGGTAGAAAATGAAAATGTATTGTGCCCTATAGCCAGTTCTGTCTGAACCTATGTACATGTGTTGAGTTTTTTGCATTGAAACTCTAGGGGGTGATGATGACTGCTCTCCAGGGATGGGTCTGACCTGTGACTAACATTGCTAACCACAAAGCCTGTAGGTAATGACAATTCTTTGAGTATTGCCTTTGATGGCTTTTTACAGTGTGCTTTTTAAAAAATAGTCTTTGTGAGGATTCCTTTTAAACTTGGCCATTCCTCAAGACCTTTCCAAAAGAATCATTGTGGTCCTGCTCATGCTGGGCTATTCTTGTGTCCTATTTGGCCCATCCTAAGCACTGTCCATGGTTCGTTGAGTACAGTGTGGATCTGATTGATTATTGGAGGGCACAGGTATTGTTCCAGATGTGTGCTTAGGTTTGTAGTCTTGACAGTGAAATACGGCATTTTCAGAGGTGCAACCCCAGCACACCACCTCTGTTTTACAAAAGTCAGCAGTCACTTGGGGCTCCAGTCAAAAGTGCTGGCTTTTTTTTTTTTTAGCCAACCATAAGCATATATTCAGGCATGTAGGGTTAAGATTTCCTCTCTGTTCATTAGACCATAATTATAGGTATTATTAATGGATCTCTCTTTAAATGTGGATCCATAGACAGATAATTCTGTTTGAATAGAGGTCACTTGCCATCAGGAAATGAGTAGTTTTGGGTTGGAAGAGCTGACTTTTAGCCTTGGTTCTCCTTGATTATCTTTATATTCTTTGAACTTAATGATGCTGAGCTTTCATACCTTTTTTAATCTCTAAAGTGGACATAATAATACTTGCAAAGAGTAGCTATAAAATATGTAAAACACCAAACATACTGATGACTGTATAATAGGTGCTAGATAATTATAGCTGTTATTATCATAATTATGTGCTCTATCCCTTTATCCAGTTCTTGATAAATAATCAGTTAAAATTACAATGATCTCAAAATACATATGCCTATGAACATTTCAAGCTTAAACTAATACTTGGAGGTCTTTATTTCCAAGGTTAGAGGTTTAATTAGGTATTTCTGCTTCTTTAGGGGCTGGGAACTCTGAATGATTCAGTCTACAGTAAATCTGCTTTTCTTTAATTCCATTTCCCACCTCCCTTGGGGGTGCATGAGTCCTTGAATTCGATGTAAGTTAGTGAAGGGAGGAATTTCTAATCATCATCAGAATAAGGAAATTAAGGCATATGCTATGCAAGTGCCTCCTCACTGGGCAACGTGACCAGTAGGCTTCAGAGCATATTTGGAGTTATTTCATACTTGGCTGTATTTGTTCATTCATTCAACAAGTATTCATTGATACCCCACTTTGTAAATGGTCCTGTGCTAAATGCTTGGGGGATACAATGCTGAAATAATAGAAGCTACTAACTACTGGGTTGAGTAGGGAGATAACTTACTAAGAAGGTGTAACACTGGAAGCATTTTTTAGTATTAAGAGGGAATGTACCCTCACAACTTTATGCAAATCCTTTCTCTTAGACTTACATGATTACATTTCTAGTGCCAAGGCTTTGGGGTGAAAGTAATCGCTTCTGAAGTACAAAAGTTATAAAAATCCCTTTCCTGTCACTTTTTCAAATCCCCAAATGGTGGTGTGTCTGACCTAAATAACTAATGCTAAAGAAATAGCATTATTAGAGGAGACCGTACAACTTGGCCACCCATTCAGCTTTGTCTTCATTCATATTATTTAGCTGAATAAAGCTGACTGCATTGTTCTAGGCTTACAATAGAAAATGCCTTCCTATAAATGAAAGAGTCTCCTGGCATATCATACCACTACTCCTGTTTCTGATAAATGAATTATTGATGTCTGAGTTAGATTGTCTCTCCCCTAAGCTGCTTCTTGTAAAATGGTCCCTCTGCTTAAAAGTCATAGCAACATATTTAGTGGGAGATGAGTCCATGGCATTATATTTTGAGTATGTGATATGTGGCCCCAGAATCTAATTCCTTTTCAAAATAAACCAGCCCATAGGTTAAAGACTTGTTTTCCAAAAGGAATGGATTTTTCGTTTTGTTTCTTATCTTTGTTTCTAGGAAGATTTAACCAGGGTGGCGGGAAGCACATTTCTCCCAGTTCTTTATTTGTCTTTCACACGTAATTTCTGGTTTTAAGAATGTTGCCATGTTACAGAAACTAAAGTGTGTGTGTGTGTCCTTCTTTTTCTTAATTCTTGCAGGTGAAGATTATTGTTAGGAGGTAGTGTTCCAAAACAAAGCCAATTAATGTAGGCAGTGTTTTCTCATTATACAGAAATATTTTAACTCAATACGAGAGGAAAAAGCCACACTTTAGATCAATGACCTTTAGCTCTATGACCTAAATGCTTCTAAATATAGAAGAAGCATTATTTCTTTGTACACAGGATTTAGCCACATACGTTAAGATAACCGTATAGCTAAATAGGTCAGACAAACCCACCAAAGAAAAGTAGGACCGTTGTCAAAGGATGATTTGTTTTCCAAATATTTTCAAAAATTTTCCCCTAATCCTTTTACAAAATAACTACAATCTCTACTCTGTGCTACATAGTAGTTGCCACATCAGTGATTATCAAATGAATTTATGTTACGTTGACTACAAATGTAT